ACATGTTAAAAATATGGGTTAATGGTTTACATATCCCCTCAATTACCCATTTAACAGTTGTCATAGTGATACCATCACTATCACTAGATGTTTTGTTACCACATTTATTCACTATCTCTATAATTTCCTTTTCAACTATGGGCTTCAAAAACATTGAACTCATGTTCCTTTCGTTTGTATTATTATTTATAGTGACAGATGTATCATCTGTACAAATGCTTCTTGCTAAACCAGGACCAACATTCACAAAGAACCTATTAAACTTATCGACTACATCCTCCAATCTGTTGACCGGTGTAAGGTTCTTGTTTGAAGAGAGGCCGGGGAATGGATCGTGTCACTGAGGGTCCCACACAAACAGTGCAAAGTACAAAGGCTGTACGCTCACCCTGAGTCGTCCGAGTCGCTGCAGGCAGAATCGGGGCAGTTCTGGAGCTTCTTCACCCAGAGCAGCTGCAGCTCTCTGCTGGAGGCCGCAAACAGGTACTGGCTGCCATCCTCCAGTCTGAAGGACCGTCGCACAACACACAGTCGACCAAAGGAACAAAAGACAGAACTACATCAACCAACTTGTTCAACACCTAATAAGTTGTGCAGGGTTGATCAGAACTTTGTTAAAAGCAGTAGTGGAAGAAGTGCACAGATCCTTTACTGCAGTAAAAATAGTAATACCACAGTAGAAAAGTACTCTGCTACAAGTAAAAGTATCCAAAGTACCAGTACTCGTCCTCCAGAACAGCCCGTGTCCCAGTAACGTCTCTGATACTGGATCATAGTGACTAATTACTGTGTCCATCACTTTAATGCTGCAGCTGCTAAAGGTGGAGCTGATGGTAACTACCTTATATACTTATACTGGGAAGTACTTTCCATCCTGCTGGGTAGCTGGTGGATTTCCTACTGGGATCAATAGAGTCTGATGGTTCTACTGGGTTTGGTTTGATTCATCTGATTCTGGACCTGAAGGTATCAGGTACATGTAGTGTAGTAAAAAGTACACGGTTTGTCTCTGACATGTCCATACATTTCAGACTATCTGACCAAAAGCCAAAACATTCAGCTTTAAAGTGACCTAAGGTCAAAGTGTATGAACTGTGAACACTTTACTTACATCAGTTTGAATGTGTTCTCCTTCCTCCTGTAGTAGGGGTTCTCCCTGCAAACTGCTCCCACCGTGTTGATAGGAGGCCACCTAGAGGCCCTCTGTGGAAACACAGCACACAATGCTTCTAACTTCACCGCTTCATTAAACTGGGAGTTTGGTGGATGGAAGCAAAATGTTTGTCTCATGTCTAAAATCTAAACTGAATTAAAAAGCCCTTCTGATGATCTCTTTGAACACCTATTTCTCTGCACAACCATAACATGGAGATTGAAAAAAGTCATCATTCAGGACAAGATGTACGAGCGGATGTTTACTATTTTTCTTTATACTTCTAAATACATGGTCACGGTGCTGACATCAGGCTGTGCATTTTTCATACCTCTGCAGCAGCTGCTCTGTCTTTAAACAGGCTGAGCGTCTCTCCCTCCAGAACGGCCAACACTTCCTCCCAGTGCTCCAGACCCTGCAGCAGCACCAGCAGAGCTCCGTCAGTCACTGACATCATTCATTTTACAGATGTCTTTAAACTAGACAGTGAACACATCTTACAGGCCACTTGTAATGGCTGCAAAATAGTAACAAACTGTCTTCACAAAGAATATTTTCTGACTGATTTCTGAAAAAGCTCAGTCCACACAGTAAGATGGTTTTCATATTCATCCGTTCATTGTTCCTAGCTGATCTGTCCACAGCTCCAAGTCTCCTGTCTTCAGTGTCTGTTGAGTGTGAGTGAGAGGAAACTGTAATTTCTAATCCTGAGATAATCTGTGATCTGTGTATTTGCTGTGGTTAATGTACCAGTGTCCGGACATGAGCTGGAGCCAGAAGGAGGCTTTGTTTTGTCCAAGTCAACTTATATTTTTGCCATGCCAGCAACATGGCTCTACAGATGATGATGTCTCTCCTTGTGTTCAACACTCTGGTCCAGACTGAAATCTCTCAGCAGCTACTGAATGGATTATTATGAAATCTGTAATACTGCTAGAACTTTTCATCACCAAATTTTAAAAAAATTATCAAATATGACAAAATACCTGCAAAATTACAACATTCTCATCAGCCTCAAGTTTTCACATGTTCACCAGGAGGCTCTCACCTTGTTTCCTCCGTGTTTCAGCTTGATCTCCAGAATCCCCTCCATTCTGATTGGATGCACTGCTGTTACCTGACAAGAGAAAGTTTTTAATAATTATATCAAGACATGACAGTAATTCAACAACAACTGTACGCTGATGTCTGAAGTAGGGCTGCAATAAATGAATGGTTTCATTACTGGTTCTTCTGTTTATTTCTTGGTCAATAAAATGTGAGTAAAGAGAGAGGAGAGGAGCTCAGAGCATCATGACCCCCCTCCCCCCCAGCAGCCTAGGCCTATAGCAGCATTACTAAGGGAAGGCTCAGTCACCTGACCCAGCCCTAACTATCTATAAGCTTTATGAAAAACAAAAGTCTTAAGTCTAACCTTAAAAGTAGAGAGGGTGTCTGCCTCCTGAACTAGTGTAAAAGCAGCACATGTGGTTGATAATAACTAGAAGAGAACATTTGTAAAATCAGCTCCCACTTGAAACACCTGAGCTGCTAGTCAGGACCAGCCCCCAACAGGTTTATAGCAGCTACAAATGTTGCAGGTGCTAGAACTGTAAGCTAACACCACCAGAGAGCTGCAGAGCCACACTTCTCAATAGAAACCTGACTCAGTCTCTACCTCAGCTGTGGGCTGGTCCACTGGGACATCTTCTAATGTCCTTTGCTGTCGTGGAGGAGACGGAGGCAGCTCTCTTGTTGGAGAAGCAAGGTCAGATGAACCAGAACCCTCCGCTGTGATTGCTGCAGCAGTCGGGGAGACAGGTGGTGCAACCTGTTTAGCAGTAGGAGTCGCAGCATCAAAAGGATGGGGCTGTTCGCTGACCTGTGGTTCAAGGTAGCTGAGTTGTCTCCTCATCGAAGGCAATTCAGGGGGAGTGCATCCTTCTGTGCCAGGTGGAGGTTCAGTGGGAGGAACAAGCTGTTTGATTTGTGGTGGCAAGTCAGGTGGTGTAGTGGGCCTTCCTGGTTGGTGCTCAGAGCGGTGTACGAGTGTTCGCTCTGTGGAGGAGATTCTTGGCTTTGGAGCCAGAGGAGGTTTGGATCTGGGATGACAGTCTTCACCAGAAGTCTCTTTAGATGAAGACGAGAAGGAGGTTTGAGAGATTCTACCCTCCACCTTCCTCCCCAGAGTCTCTGGGGAGGAAGGTGGAGGTGATTGAGGAGCTTTTGGAGAGAAGGAGTTGGATGAAACTCTGAGAGGAGAGTCAGGACTTGTGGGTCTGATTCGACCTCCCCAGGGCTGTGCAGCCAGGCTGGAGCTGAGACCAGCAGGACAACTGTTAGCTGGCTCTTCTCCAGACCTCCTGCTGGCACTAGAATGTGGTTCAGGGCACAGAGCCGGGCTCAGAGGGGGACTAGCAGAGCTGGTGAGACTGGGCACCACCTGAGGACCATCTGTTTTCTGGTCTAGCACAGACTGTCCGTCTGCTCTATCTGCCTGCCTGCCGCTGCTGACTCGGCGTACGATGCCTCTAGAAGAAGAGATGCACGGTGTCTTTGGATCAGATGGTTTACTCCTCAGGGAGGAAACTCTGGCCGGAGGTTTTCTGTCATGGAGGTCTTTGTCCTTGTTTCCATGCAGACCCAGCCTCTTCTCCCTCTAGATAAAAAGAACCACAGAGTTAGAGCAAAGAGGAACAGCCTTTGGTTCAGACCACATACCTGCCTCCATTCTTGTTTTTGTGAAGTGTGGTACAATCCAGAAATGTACAACCACTTTGTTTATTTTAGTTAATTAGTCGCACATGCAGGAGGCAGGTTTACATTCACACAATATCATCAGGGTTGCTCCCAGATTCATAGCCTGACATCGAGCCCGAACCTCCAGCAGAGTCATAAAGAGTCAAGTTTAGAGTCCAAAGGAACCACAAGTCCTGCAGCAGATGGTACTTCTAGCACCCAAATGTCTGTGCAGGACTGCACATCCTCAGGGAATCATATCATCCCAATAATGTAGGTGATAACATTTAATTTTATTTTGCACATTGACTGTGAAGACAAACAGTAAACGTCTGGACCCGGACCAGAAGGGGACGTAATCTGGAACACAAATTGAGTGCCATGTCATCACTGCTGCTGCAGGTCGTCTTCAGTATAAGTCACCAACCAACCTGTGTTGTCTTCTTCTGCAGTGCCATGAAGCGGTCGCTCTGAGCCTGGATCATGGTCTCCAAATCCTCCTGTCGCTTCAGGTGCTCCATAACATCAGACACAGAGTCCTGGAGGAACCAAGAGAACACAACACCCTGTTTTTAGATTGATAAGGTCAAGGAATCTCTGCCTCAGGTAAAAATACTCCAATACAAGTAAAAAACCTGCTTAAGTAAAAGTACGCAAGTATCGTCAGCCTGATGAAGTTCAAAGTATTAGTACTCAAAAGGAGTATTAGTACTCCTCTGTTGTCCTGCAGAATAGCATCTTGTGCGACTGACGTCTGATTCTGTCAGACATCATCAGATCATTAATCTGGAGTCAAAGCCTCAGGAGCATTTTACTGTTGGATTAGTCCAGTGGCTCCAGCCCAGAAACTGGGGATGTGTACTGGTTCTGTGATGGACTGACAGATGGATGGGCCTACAGGGACAAACTAGCTGCTGGGCTACCTCTGGCGAGGAGACGTTTAAGTAGCTTAAAGTGGAACTACATGTACCTCACATTGTACTGTAGTTGTTTAAACGTACTGATGGTGACCTACCCCATAGTCCTCAGCCCTCAGTGTGTTTTCATAGGAGCTCAGCCAGCGCTCTGCCTGCTCCAGCTCCCTCTGCAGCAGCATGATCTCCAGCTCCTCCTCATACAGCTGCCTGGTGTCCTCCCAAACCTTCTCCACCTGCACCTCCAGCTCCTCCATCTCACAGACACGCTCCTCCACCTGGGGGGAGGGGGGCGGACATGCAGATGTTAGACAGACATTATGAACAGACCATCTCCTCTGAGATCAGATTTCAGGAGTTCGTGCCTGTCGTGGCTCCCTCACCTCTCGGGACATGACGTTTCCATCCTCCATCAGGCGCCTCCCTTCGACCTTCGCAGCCTGTGATTTGCCGAGCTGCCGGTCAATCTGGACCCGGTACTCGTCGTGCTTTTTAATGAGCTGCTCCAGGTCGGTGCCCTCGATGCTCTGCACCTCCCCTCGCACCAGAGACAGCATCTCCTTCAGCCAGGCCCTGAGACACAAGACACGCCCAGCTTCATGAACTCATCATGATCTCTAATACTCTGTGCCCTCTTCCATCCCAGAAACTTACTGTCCTTACCAATATAAAGATGTAGCTGTCGTGCATTTTCAGTGTCATACATAATAAGGAATAACTGGGGGAGGAGAATCTGAATAAGCCCCAGTTTAGAAATGATGTGTAAACACAGAACCATGGATATATTATTTCATTAAGAAAGCAGTGAGGTCTGAGTCAGCAGTTCCATCACCTACGACAATCCAAATCAGTGTATGAAAACCCTGTTAAATACCGTAAAGCAGTAAGGCCACAGCTTTACTCTGAACAACACAACAGTAAACAGTGGCCTGTTCTTTATCAGTTTCTTAAGCGATTCATTGTTTGGTATAAAAATAGTGGAAAATGTCACAGCACTCCAGAAATTCAAGGTGATGTTTTCAAATATCTTTGGTTTGACCAACAGTCCGAAACCCTAAGTACAGAAAATACAATTAAATACAAATGAAACAATCCTCAAAGATGACACAATAAAAGCTGGAACAAGGGCATGTTTGGCATTTTTGCAACACAACACAGGGCAGGTCAAAGTTGTAAAGTACTACCAACATGTACAATGTGTATTCAACTCTTAAGTACTGCTATAAGCATCTACTGTATAATACCAGCACTGGATCCAAAGAAAAGCCTTCAGAGGACCTACATGAGTTCAGTGCAGTGGGACAGGTATCTCTGGACATCCTCAGCCTGGCCCAGTCTTGCGCGGCGCTGGGAGGCTCTGTCCTGGATGCTGGCCCAGCAGGCCTCCAGCTCCTCCAGCCTCTGAGTCACAGAGGACCTGGCCTGAGGCTGCCGCCGGCTCCCGGGCCCGCCC